CACTAGTAGTAGTCATCACTGTCACCTTTGCTTTTTGAAAATTTTTGAAGCCTAGCCTCTCTAGGCTGCTCCTAGACCTACTATCCAGCGACTGCGTACGAAAGTTCAGTCAGCTTATTCCTTCCCATCTGTTCTGGGAATTTGTACGCTTTCCTCACCAAAACATTTCCGCATTTCCACATGTCCTATTGACCACAAAGTTCAGTCTGTTCAGCCCCTTTGGGTACGATTTACTTGGTAAACATGTGGAGGAAGACCAAGGACTCTTGATAGAGTTACCTATTCTTAAAACAGGGACATTTTTTATCTTTTGATCTTCTTATTTGATCTACCATTGCTTCCGTGATATTGTGTCCTTGCTTTTTGGACTACTTTGTCCCACTTCAGTGGTTTTCTTCAAACATCTGGGTTATTCTCCCGCTAGCAATTTACCTCGAACTCACTTACACATCTCCTGCACACTTTCATTTTATCAGCCCTATCTGTACGTCCTTATTGCCTTTGCCGTCCTCAAACCCCCTTCTCTCCACAGGATGATCGATACTTCCTGTCAGGCAGTCTAGATGGGAAGCTGCGACTATGGAACATTCCGGACAAGAAGGTGCGCTTCTGGGTAGACGCACCCTTACCTTCATCCCTGCCCTCTTCCGCCAAACTCTCTGCTCCCTCGGCCTCGGGCATCTTCGAGCCAAAGACCATTATTACTTGCGCCTGCTTTGCCTGCGATGGCACCAAAGTGGTTATCGGTAGCTACGATGGCCGCGTCATGTTCTTCAACACCGAGGTGGGTTCCCTCTACACGTTTCTATCGATCTGACAGTTCCGTTCCATGTTACGACTGCTGCTGTTGTTGTTTTAAAAGGCTGGCGCTTCCCTTTTTGACCTGGTCGATTACTTTTACAAGATTGTGTCCTTCTCCTGGGCTTAAGTTTAGCCGCAGCCTTTGGAGTATGAGACGTCATTCAGTTAGACATTGTATTTTTGTTCCTGTCCTTTAGTGCTCTAAATTCGGCTGCTCATCTTCGAGTGCTAGTGGGCAAAGTATAAGAAACGAGAAATGCATGCAGTCCGAAAACAGATCTTGGCCTCTGTCGAGTTCTTACCGATTTCTCAACATCTGACCTGTGGCAGCCATGCTTATCAGCTATTAGACTTACTCGATATTCTCTTCCTCCTGACTTAAGTGACGTTTCTATTGGGAATCGGAAGCAGGGTGTTTCTGTGCACCATTTTTGAGTTTACGACTTTTCGTAGGTTTCATGGATAGAACTGGGAATTTGGGCTTCGGTTTAAGAATGTTGGCTAGTGGAAGATGCTGCACCAACGATCTTAACTGTCTTAATGGTTTGCAGTATACAATCAGAGTTCGCTTGCTTTCGTACCTCCTGTGGCTGCCTGTAACCTAGGAATTACTACCTCTGCTGTTGTGGGGACGACCCAACAATTTTGGTTCCATGACGGAACGTGCTCG